CTCAATGGTAAAGAATCTACTGGCCAATGCAGGTGACATGGGTTTGATCCCTGATCCAGGAAGATCCTACATGCAGCAGAGCAATTAAGCCCGTATGCCACAGCTACTGAGCCTGTGTTGATCCCACACGCCACAACTTAAACGAGAAGGCTCTAGAGCCCACGCTCTACAACAAGAGACATCATGGCAATGAGAAGCTTGCACACCACAACTAGAGAAAAGCCTGTGCAGAGAGGAAGACCCAGCATAGCCACAAATAAAGGAAAATCTTTAAAAACCTGTATCCTTACTTCTCTTCTTTCTTATTGAAAATGCATTCCTTATGCTATTAATCTGTTATGTTGTTCATAAAACACATAGACAAAAAAAGCCTAAAACCTAAAATGGAGAGAGAAAACTGAATAAAAATAAACTGGAAATATCCCCTTCAAACTTAATTCATGTGGCTTTCATGGAGGTATAAAGATTACCATATGATCTAGTTCAGTTCAGTTCAGTTGCTCAGTTGTGTCCGACTCTTTGCAACTCCATGAACCGCAGCATGCCAGGCCTCCCTGTCCATCACCAACTCCTGGAGTCCACCCAAACTGATGTCCATTGAGTCGGTGATGCCACCTAACCATCTCATCCTCTGTCGTCCCCTTCTCCTCCTGCCCTCAATCTTTCCCAGCATCAGGGTCTTTTCCAGTGAGTCAGCTCTTCGCATCAGGTGGCCAAAGTATTGGAGTTTCAGCTTCAAGATCAGTCTTACCAATGAACACCCAGGACAGATCTCCTTTAGGATGGATTGATTGGATCTCCTTGCAGTCCGAGGGACTCTCAAGAGTCTTCTCCATGGAGAAGGAAATGGCAACCCACTCCAGTATTCTTGCCTGGAAAAGTCCATGGACAGAGGAACCTGGTGGGCTAAAGTCCATGGGATTACATGACTGAGCATGTGTGCACGAGGGTGAGGGAGATGAAGTCCATGGGATTACATGACTGAGCATGTGTGCACGAGGGTGAGGGAGATGGGTTGGTAGCAATAAAGTGGTAGAACTAAAAAAAAAAAAAAGTCTTCTCCAACACCACAGTTCAAAAGCATCAATTCTTCTGCACTTAGCTTTCTTCACAGTCCAACTCTCACATCCATACATGATTACTGGAAAAACCATAGCCTTGACTAGACGGACCTTTGTTGACAAAGTAATGTCTCTGCTTTTTAATATGCTGTCTAGGTTGGATACGACTGAAGGGACTTAGCAGCAGCAGATTGGTCATAACTTTCCTTCCAAGGAGTAAGTGTTTTTTAATTTCATGGCTGCAGTCACCATCTGCAGTGATTTTGGAGCCCAGAAAAATAAAGTCAGCCACTGTTTCCACTGTTTCCCCATCTATTTCCCATGAAGTGATGGGACTGGATGCCATGATCTTAGTTTTCTGAGTGCTGAATTTATGGAATAGGTTTGTTGTTGGGCAAAAGAGAAAAACCATCATTTATTCATTTAGAAAATATTTATTAAATGCCTGATAGCATCAACAATGTACAACAAGGAGCATGGTAAAACCATGCCTGACCCTGTAGTTTGGCTGATTGGAACAGAGAGATAATTAGTGATCTTTGCAAATATCAGTGACCTTTGCAAATATATGCTTCTATAAGTTATGGGAAAAGAAAAGAATTACCAAGATCTTTTTAAAAGTTTGAAGACCTTGAATTTTATCCAGGGTGATATTAAAAATGTTTAACAACTGGCAATGCTACCAACCAATCAAAATAGACAGAGGCTGGACAGCCATACCAATGAATTCTGCCTGAACATTAGCCCTGGTTATATTAATTTAGGGATTTCCACTCATAGTAAGTAGAATGAAAATGCAAATATAGTCATTTTAAGTATGTCTCTTTTTATTTTATCTATTTGCTTTTTTTATAAGTCTCTTTTTTAAGTTGTTGGTAACAAAGCTAGTTTAAAAACACAAATACAATATGAGAAAAACTTAGCTAGATTTTAAATTTGGGGCATTTTTCATTTTGCCATTTTTTAGTGACTTTATTTTATACAATTTTATTATTATTTTGAATAGGTACTACCTTCACATGATTAAAAACATTCACATGATTAAAAATTCAAAAGACACAAAAGGTTCTCCAGGTAAGAGTCTCTTCCACCTGTTAGACAGTTTTCCTGTCTGAAGGAAATCAATGTTGCCCCTTTTCTTGTAAAAGTAAAAGTGAAGTGAGGTCGCTCAGTCGTGTCCAACTCTTTGCGACCCCACGGACTGTAGCCTGCCAGGCTCCTCTGTCCATGGGGTTTTCCAGGCAAGAATATGGAATGGGTTGCCATTTCCTTCTCCAGGGTATCTGTAAAGTCTTCCAGAAACACTGTGGACATGACTTTATTTTTCTTCTTTAGGTTAGTAATTACCTTTAGACTGGAGCTTGTAGACCAGCACAGAAAAGAAGAGGTGGCTAAATCAGACAAGAACAGTAAGATACAGCACTTCATCTTAGTCTTAGTGGGGATGGACTGAATGTTTATGTCACCCCTAATTCCTGAGTTGAAACCCTAACCCTATGGTAATGACACAGGGAGGTGGGTGGGGCCTTTGAAAGGATTAGGTCATGAGGGAGAACATTCATATATGGGATTGCGAGCCTGCATGCTCAGTCGCTGAGTTGTGTCCGGCTCTTGGTGACCCCATGGACTGTAGCCCACCAGGCTCCTCTGTTGATGGGATTTCCCAGGCAAGAATACTGGAGTGGGTTGCCACTTCCTCCTCCAGGGGATCTTCCTGATCCAGAGAGCGAACCAGAGTTTCCTGATTGGCAGGTGGATTCTTTACCACTCAGCCACCAGGGAAGCCCTCATGAATGGTTTAGTGTCCTTTATTAAAGAGACTACAGAGTGATCTGTTATCCCTTTTGTCATGTGAAGACACATGGGGAGTCTATGAGTCAGAAAGCAGGTTCCCACCAGACACTGAGTCTGCTAGCACCTTGATCTTGGACTTTCCAGCCTCTAGAACTATGAGAAATAAATTTTCTGTTGTTTATAAGCCCCCGCCCCCACCAGTGTTTTGTTATAGCACCTGGAATGGACTAAGACATATGGGAAAATGAATCCCAGTATCTCACAGGGTAGGATATTCTGTCTACTGCTATATTCTGGGGCAAAGATGCTCCCTAAAAGGAAAGAAGGCTTTGACTGTATGCTTTAAAGATGGACTATTTCAAGTTCATTATATACACCTAGAGTTAAAGAAATCCAAGTATAATTTTTTAAAAGGGATCCTGATTTGTTTTTTAAATTAACGTACAATTCATATGCCACACCACCCAGCATTTTAGTGTATTCACAAGGCTGTAAAGCCATCACTACTAATTTCAGAATGTTTTCATTACCCCCCAAATAAATTCCATACTCATTACAGTCAGTCACTCCACCCTGCTCCCTGGCCCCTAGAAACCACTCATCTATTTTCTGTCTGTATGGATTTGTCTATTTTGAATATCTCACATAAATGGAATCATACACTAGGTGGCTTCGGTGTCTGGTTTCTTTCACTCAGCATACTATGTTCAAAGTTTATCTATGTTGTACCATATATCAGTACTTCACTCTTTTTTTCTTGTCCTTGCTTTTTAAAATTTATGGCAAAATTTATATATTACAAAATTTATCATTTTAACCATTTTTAAGTGTACTGTTCAGTGACATGAAGCACACTCACACTGTTGTGCAACATCCCCACCATCCGTCTGCAGAACTGTTTTTAAAACTCAAGCTGAAACTCTGTACCTGTTAAATAACGTCCCGATTTCTTCATAACCTCTATTTTACTTTCTTTCTCTGTGAATTTGCCTGTTCTAAGAACTTCATAAAAGTAGAATCATACAATATTGGTCCTTTTGTGTCTGGTTTATTTCACGTAGCACAATGTCTTCAAAGTTCATTCATGTGAATAGCTTGAAACAGAACTGCCTTTCATTTTAAGACTGAATACTATTCCATTGTTTTCATTTTAAGGCTGAATACTATTCCATTGTTTGGATAGACCCCATTTTGTTTATCCACTTCTCACCAAATGGACATTTGGGTGTTTACATTTTTGATAATTATGAATAATGCCACTATGAATATTAGTGTGCACGTTTTTGTATGACCATGTTTCCAGTTCTCTTGGGTGCAAGAGACTCTCAATGAGACTGTAGAGAAATCTGATGCATAATGCACATTGGCTAGAGATGGATAGAGTAAGTCCCCTCATACAAACATTTGAGTTTCGAACTTCCAAAGATGTGAATGTGTGTTTGCATGTCCAATCACATTAGTTCATGTGTCTGGCGTGCACGGTCCTGCGTGTCCATCCTCCACAAGTGGCTGTGGTTTTGTGTACCTTACAGTACTGTGTAGACTACAGTAGAACAGTTTTTTAATTGCAAGCCCAGGATGTCTGGAAGCAAGCTTACAAACAGTGGGATGCAGCCAATTGTGTTAGTTGGGTACCAAGGCTAACTTTGTTGGATTTATGACCAAACTGGACCTATGAATTCACTTTTGGAACAGAACTCATTCATACACAATAGACTTACTATACTCTGATCATGGACAGTGGTCATTGAGACTGTGTTTCCTTTGAGGAAGTGTGAAAGTATAACTTAGATATGGATATATAGATACATAGATTTATATAGATTCCTTTGTTAATGTTCTTTTTCATTATGGCTTATTCCAGGATACGAGATATAGTTCCCTGTGCTATATGGTAGGACCTTGTTGCCTAGCCATTCTAGGTGTAATAGTTCACATCCACCAATCCCAAACTCCCGGTCCAGCCCGCTCACTCCTCTCCACCTGCTTGGCAACCACAAGTCTGATCTCTATGTCTGTGAGTCTGTTTCTGTTTTGAGGGTAGGTTCATTGGTGCCACAGTTCAGATTCCACACATAAGTAATATTCATATGGTGTCTGTCTTTCTCTTTCTGACTTAGAATCAAGTATACTTTAAATAGTTACCCATTTTCCAAGCAGAGCTCTTCTTTCTTCAAATACCTACAATTGAAAAAAAAAAAAAAGATGGAATGATTTCATATTTCATGGTTCAAAATACCCATTAAAAAGACATCATTAGGACTTCCCTGGTGGTCCAGTGGTTAAGAACTGCCTGCCAATGCAGGGGACATGGGTTCAATCCCTGGTTCCAAAAGATTCCATGTGCCTCGGTGCAACTAAGCACATGTGCTACAAGTACTGAAGCCTGCACGCCCTAGAGCCCCTTACCCCCAGCAGAAGCCAGCATAATGAGAAGCCTGCTCACTGCAGCCAGAGTGGCCCCTGCTTGCCAAAACTAAAGAGAGCCCGTGCACAGCAATGAAAACCCAGCACAGTCAAAAATAAAATAAATAAATTTTTAAAAAGACATCATTAAAGGATCAATCACTAAATACTGACAGTCTTTTCCATTTTTATCAAATGAGTATAAAGAGACAGATTTTGTACCTGAAAGGGTAACTTTATTTATAACTTGGGCAAACTTTCTTTTTTCTTAGTTTCTCCATGTGAAACAATTCATCTTAAAGAATAAATAATTCTTTAAAAGCAAGAAATAAGAAAAGAATGGAACTATAAAGTGAAATCATTTTTGGAATTTGAAAGGTGATGACAAAACTGACAAAGGCAAAATAGGAAAACAGAGAACCTCTCTCCAAATATTTCGGCATTACTAGCATTAGAACTTGTGAAATTTATGAGTGAGCGGTTCTGTTTTTTTATTTCATGAGTTTACATATCAGTGGGTGTACATTACTTACATGTTTGCCTATGTGCGCCTCTGGGTTTACAGCTCAGCGTTTATCTATATAGGTCTGTCGTTATATACCACTTAGGGCAGAAATTATGTCTTATTCACCTTGACTTCTCCACTGCAGAGTGCTGTACATGGCATATTACAGGTACTCAAGCTTGCTGGAAGGAATGAATATGCTTGTGACAAATGAATATCCTTTGGATGTATCGCTACCATGTGAGTGTATTTACGTATTAGTGGAGAGGTGTTTCCCTGACCTTCGGTCATTTGTGTATCTATCTGAATGGGTGAGGAAGGGACAGTTAGCGTGAGAAGGTTCGGCAGAGGAGGGCGATCTGGAGCCAGGAAGCAAGATACAGCAGGAAACAGGTGTGAGTGTCCCTCTCACACCCACACTGCACTCTGTTGGCTTTCAAAATTGGGCTCCATGTTTTTCCCTTCCTCTTGGCACTTTCTAAATTCTCTCGCACTGTCAGAACATTCCTATTTAGAAACCAGCTCAGGCCTATTTCTTCTCTTTTGTGGAGGAGGATGAGAGGCTGGTTTCATGCTTCCAACAGATCTGTTTTCCTTCCTTTTTTTAGACTCAAATTCTGCTTTCAAAGGGCAGGCAAAATGGAGACTGAAATAACTGATTCAACAACAACCTCAAGGCCTATAAAATGTCATCTTTGCTACTAACCAGGGAATATCATATATCACAGGTAGACACTTTTTATACTTTAGAGAAGAAGAAAAAGAATACCATTTTCTCCTCCCTCCTAATTAACTGGCCCATGGGCTACTAGGACCCTCAAATAACAGTGACAGATACTAGGACCCTCAAATAACAGTGACAGACAATCTCATAATTTCTAGATTAAAATAGAAGAGGGGATTTCCCTGGGGGTCCAGTGGTTTAAGACTCTGTGTTTTTGCTGCAAAAAGCGAGGGTTCAATCCCTGGTTGGGCAATTAAGGTCCCACAGGCCAATGGAGTGGTCACAACAAGCAAAGAAAAAGAAAATAGAAGAGAACCTATAAAATAAAAAAAAAAAAAAACCTATAGAAGTTTTCAGAAGACTGAAAAATCAGGATTCAGGGCTTTCATGGTGGTCCAGGGTTAAAAATCTGCCTGCCAATGCAGGACATACAGGTTCCATTCCCGGTTGGGGAAGATTGCACATGCCATGGGGCAACTAAGCCAGTGATCCACGACTATTGATCGCGCACGTCCTAGGGTCCACGTACTGCAACTAGAGAGAAGCCCCCACTCGCTGCAACCAGAGAAAGCCCTCGCGCAGCAACGAAGACTCAGTGCAGCCAAGAAAAAATAAAGAATAACAAAAAAAGAGAAAAATCAGGATTCACACATTTCCTGAACTCTTCTCTTGTGTCTAGCAAAATCCTATCAAGCATCTAATTCCCCTCCTAAGTCTCAGGCACCAGCATTCTGACTCTTTCCAACTCCTCCTCCACTTGCAGCCCATGCTCCACCTGGCCTTTCTAGGATTTGCTATTGGCCGTCAGGTGATTCTGTTCATTTTCACTTCCCAGGTAGATTACAGCTACTTTCCCTTATACGATCCACAGGTTCCAGGGGAGGCTGTCAACAAAATACTTGCTGACTGAACAACAATAAGAGATTCAGATGTCATAGAATTTTAGGGCTAAAAGGAATCTTAAGATCTTTTTGTTCAACTTTTCTGTTTTAGAGAAGATAAGCAGAGGCCCAAAGGGTTACCTTTATAGATTTAAAAAAGAAATCATTGGTTCCAGACTGTATGTTCAGTTGAATAATATACTTGGTTCCTCACTAGAAAGCCATGCGGTGCAAGCGTGCTTAGTGATGTCCGATTCTTGGAGACCCCATGGACTGTAGCCCGCCAGGCTCCTCTGTCATGGGATTTCCCAGGCAAGAATACTGGAGTGGGTTGCCATTTGCTACTCAAGGGGAATCTTCCTGACCCAGGGATCATACTCATGTCTCTTGCATCTCCTGCACTGACAGGCAGATTCTTTATCACTAACACCTGGGAAACCCTGCTAGAAACATGGTCTTTCTATTCTGACCTCCAAACTTGATTTTCCCTATTCTGACCTCAAGCCCTACATTCTCAATGAATTGCTGCCCATGGTTTGACCTGACAGTCGGGGGAAAAAAAACAATTAGGTCCCAGGATGACAAGATCCTTTCAAAAGGAGATTGGGAGGACCATCGTGGTGTCCAATGACAACAGAAGGCATCAGAAAGAAAGGGGCACTGGCTTGAAGGGGTGGGGAGAGTCAGCAAGAATGTGGCAGGGGGACTTCCCCGGTGGTCTAGTGGCTGAGACACCAAACTCCCTATGTAGGGGGCCAGAGTTCCATCTCTGGTCAGGCAACTAGATTCCACATGCTGCGACTAAAAAGATTCCACACGCCGCATCTAGAGATCCTGCATGCTGTAATAAAGACCTAGTGCAGTCAAATAAATAAAATTAATATTTTAATAAATAAATAATAAAGTCAGTTACTGATAATAAAATAAAGAGGGTGGGAGGTAGGGTCTTTAGGAGGCCAATGAACAAGTCTAAACAGAGTCCAAGCAATCCAGTTCTTCACCAAAAGGCGATTAGAGTCAGGTAGGAACTGATAGGCGTGAGGGGCAAGAAGAGAAACAGTAGACAAACTCAGATCTGGTTCTGACTCTACCCTTGACAAGAAGTATAATTTGGAACAAATTATTTAACTGTCAAGTCCTCAGGCAGACTCAGAATCTTATAGTCTCTGGTTGGGATCAAGTCTTCATTCCAAGGATTTGCAATCAGACTTTTGATCTTAAAAAGCTGGAAGAGGGTTGGAGGGATAAATTGGGAGTTTGGGATTAACATATACAAACTGTTGTATATAAAATAAATAACCAACAAGGACCTACTTATAGTACATACACTACTCAATATTGTGTATTCACCCATAAGGGAAAGAATCTGAAAAAGAAAAGATATATATGTATAACTGAATCACTTTGCTGTACACTTGACTAACACAACACTGTAAATCAGCCATACTTCAATTAAAATAAAAAAAGAGCCCGGAAACAGTATCACTTCAAGTGGAAAACATTAGAGAGAATCATCTTTCCTTGCAGATTGCTGGTTTGTTTACATCACAGTTTACTCAGAGCCTGCTGTTAAGTCAAAATCCCAAGGTTGTTATTTCAGTCTGTTGACACTGTGGTTGCATATTTCACCATGTGACATCATCACCATGGAGGAGTAAGACATTGTGGGGCTCCTAAATTATGACTGATGGATGCTGGCTAGGTGCTTTTTCTCAGAACACCCTTTTAACTACACGTGTACTGTACTACATGTGCGAACCATATTCAAAAAGAGAAATGTTGATCACTTTCAATTAAACTACTAGATGGAAAAAAAAAAAACTACACTAGACAGAAAAGAAATACATACGTATAAAACATTCCTCCTCTCAAAGTTTTCACAAGGCCTGAATTATCTTGTAATCTGATGATGCTATAATTTTGGCATCTACATTTGAATTCAATCTCTCTGCTTAAAGCCTCTCATGAAGTTAAACTCCTATGAGTTTTATTTTAGACTGAAGCAGTTTCGTATGTCTCATTTTACTACAGAACAGAAAAAAGTCAAAATTAAAACAAAAAGCAGGGCCTTCCCTAGTGGTACAGTGTTTAAGACTCCGTGTTTAAGATTCTACCCCTGGCCAGCAAACTAAAGTCCCATATGCTGTGCAGTGTGGCCAAAATAAAAAAAAAGAGGACCTCAAAATTACGCTGATCATTGGCAAATGCCCTGTGGTAGAAGTGTAGAAAAGCCTTTGAAGTTATCGTATGGACATGGTCTGCCCAGCTGTAAACTTGGGTATCTATTTTTAAACCCTTTCACACAGTCAGAATGTTAGACCTGGAAGGGACCTTTGAGGTCATCTGATTCAAGCCACTCAATTTCCAAAGGCAGGCAGTAAAGATCAGAGGCATAAGAGACTTGCTGAAGTCAAGCAGATTATTTAGTACAGCTGATCTGGAACCTGTGTTTTTCAATTCTCAGCATTACTGTTCTTTGCTTGCTTTTACTTCTATTTGTTTTTTAAATTGTTAAATATCATTGCACTGTATACGGTAAAAAACAAAAACTCTCTCTTCTAACAGACTTCCCTCCCACTCTTCCATGTTGTCCAACATTTTAGGGGAAACCACTTTGATAGTTGGGCTTTTCTGGTGGCTCAACCAGTAAAGAACCTACCTGCCAGTGCAGGAGACATAAGAGACATGGGTTTAATCCCTGGGATGGGAAGATTCCTTGGAGGAGGGCATGGCAACGCACTCTAATCTTCTTGCCTGGAAAATTCCATGGACAGAGGAGCCTGGAGGGCTACAGTCTATGGAGTTGCAACCAGTCAGACAAGACTGAGCACATGTGCACACACTACTAACAGTTTGCTGTATACATATGCAAATTCCACGTGTATGTCTAAGTATTGATACATTCATTCACATACATACAGGTATATACACGGGCCAAGATTTTTTTTGTATTGTATTTAATTTTTAATGAATTATAATTGACATATAATTTTAGTTCCAAGTTACAACATAGTGATCTGATAGTTTTTTAAATTTTAATTTTTTTTTAATTGAAGGATTTTGCTTTACAGAATTTTGTTGTTTTCTGTCAAATCTCAACATGAATCAGCCATAGGTATATATATGTTACCTCCCATTTGAACCTTCCTCCCATCTCCCTCCCCACCCCACCCTTCTAGGTTGACACAGAGCCCCTGTTTGAGTTTCCTGAGCCACACAGCAGATTCCCATTGGCTATCTATTTTACATATGGTAGGCTAAGATTTTTGAAAATACTTTTACTCCAAACTAGAACCTAACTAAGCCAAAATAAAAATGAGGGAGGGAGGGACTTCCTTGGTAGTCCAATGGCTAAGACTCTGGGCTTCCAGTTCAGGGGACCAGGGTTCAATCCCTGGTCTGGGAACTAGATCTCATATGCTGCAGCTAAGAGCCAGCACATTCAAATAAATATTTGTTAAAAAAAAAAAAAAACCCAAAAAATGAGGGAGGGAATAAAATGTGAGTTCTGAACAACAAAATAAATATCATTTCTAATAGAAATTGTTATTTCTCTTACCATTGCTCATATGAAATTTTTAAACATTTTTATTTATTTGACTGCACTGGGTCTTAGTTGTGCCATGTGGGTTCTTTAGTTGCAGCATGCAAACTCCTGCAGCATGTGGGATCTAGTTTCCTGAACACAGATGGAACCCAGGCCCCCTCTATTGGGAGCACAGACTCTGAACCACTGGACCACCAGGGAATTCCCTAGAAATTCTCATAAAATTTGACAAAAGCTATTCAGGTTTCCTAGGTGGCACCAGTGTTAAAGAACTCACCTACTGGGACTTCCTGGTGGTCCAGGGGCTAAGACTCCATGCTTCCAATGCAGGGGGCCTGGGTTTGATTTCTGGTCTGGGAACTAGATCCCACATGCTGCAACTAAGAGTTCACATGCTTCAACAAAAATTGCAGCCAAATAAATTAAAAAAGAAAACTCACCTGCTAATGCAGGTTATATAAAGGACACTGGGGTCGATCTGTGGGTCATGAAGATCCCTTAGAGGACGTCATGCAACCTACTCCAGTATTCTTGCCTGGAGAATCCCATGGACAGAGGAGCCTGGCCGGCTATTGGTCCATGGGATCTTCAAGAGTTGGACATGACTCAGTGACTAACACACATGAAGGGTCCTCAGTGCTATGCATGGCAGGTAGGGTGGAATTTACTCTTTGGAGCAGTCTGTTATTGGTTTTGCTTCATAGGATTAGTTTGGTATTTTAGAGAGATCATTCTGGGACCAGAATAGAGGATGGATTAGAGACAGTGAAACCAGCTGAGGGGTTACTTCAATGTGCCAGGCGAAGGGGGGTGAGTGTGTGAACTGAGAACATGGAGCTGGATGTGCACAAGTCAAAGGAGAAGAGGGGTCTGGATGAAGAGACCTAGGAGGAAGACTCAGAACCTGAACACCAGTTGGATACGGAGGTGAAGGGGAGCTGGTAGACACTCCTCCTGGCCTTCTCATCTCCTAAATCTTTTAAAAAATATTTATTTGGCTGCCCTGGGTCTCAGTTGCAGCACACAAGGTCTTTAGTTACAGTATGTGGGACTGAATTCCCTGGCCAGTGATTGAACCCGGGCCCCAGCCCTGGAAGCAGAGAGTCTTAGCCACTGGATCACCAGGGAAGTCCCTAAGATCTTTCTTTCTAAGCAGGAACGCTGTATCTCTTGCCAACTCTGGCCATGTAACTGGGGCTCAACTAAAGTTTTCTTTCTTTTTGTTCTAAATTTATTTCAATTAAAATTTTTGAAGAAATCCTTCATTTTGTTTTTTTTTTTAATCCACTACACAATCCTAAGCAATTCCTGTTCATGTTTTGATTACCAAAATTTTAATGCTTTTTTGTTCCTTTAAAGCATGATTTCAACTAATAAAATAGTTCTTATTACTCACCCGGTCATTCAAAAGCTGATGGTTTAGGGGTGTCCAGGTACTCATCTTTGTCTGCATTTTGGGACCATCTGTGTTTTTGGGGGGTGCAAATGCCATCATGAAATAAGTGGATATTCTTCTGTAAGAAAAACTACACCTGCAGAAGAAATCAATCACACAATCTTCAGAATACTAAAAATACTAATACCATATAATCTTTTTTAGTACACTGGGACAGGGACTAGGGGGAGAGCAACATTTACTGGGAGCATTTTATATGTCAGGCACTTAACAGGTTTGCTCAATTAAAACCCATAACAATATGGTAAGGTGGTGGGTTTTAGCTTATTTTACAGATGAAGAAAATGAGGCTCACTAAAGTTACATGCTTTGCCCAGAGTTATACAGACAGTAGGTGGTGAAACAGGGAATCAGACACAGGTCTGTTTAACTCTGTTTGATGTTCATTGGACCAAGGGGGGAAAAGCAGAATCACTCTTAGCTAAGAATATACCATATTGGTCAGAAAGAAGTATTTATAAAATCACACTGCAATCTGAATTACTCCATCTTTGTCCCTTGTGACCTCCTCCTTCCTCTCTTAACTTTCTGACATCTAGTTAACAATGGCTCTAGCTTGCTACCATATTTAAGAAGTAGAATGGTACAATGGACAAGGCCAAGGATTTACATATGGACAGATTTGGGTTTATTGGGGAAAATACACTGGTTTTAGATGCCCAGGACTGTATATGTCTGCCTTCATTTTTGTGGCCTCACGGCATGTGGGATCTTAGTTCCCCAACCAGAGATGGAACTCACATCCCTTGTATTGGAAACGTTGAGTCTTAACCATGACTGTTATTGTTCAGTCACTAAGCTGTGTCCAACTCTTTGCAACTCCATGGGCTGAAGAACACCAGGCTTCCCTGTCCTTCACTATCTCCCAGAGTTTGCTCAAACTCATGTTCATTGAGTGGGTGATGCCATCCAACCATCTCATCCTCTGTTGCCTCCCTTCTCCTCTTGCCCTCAATCTTTCCCAGCATCAGGGTCTTTTCCAAGGAGTCAGCTCAGGTGGCCAAAGTATTGGAGTTTCAGCTGTAGCATCAGTCCTTCCAATGAATATTCAGGGTTGATTTCCCTTAGGATGGACTCATTTGATCTCCTTGCTGTCCAAGGGAGTCTCAAAGGTCTTCTCCAGTACCACAATTCAGTGCTCAACCTTCTTTATGATCCAATTCTAACCATTGGATAGCCAGGGAAGTCCCTATGTCTGCCTTCATTGGATCAAAGCACTCCAATTTCCATGAGGGATTACTTTTCCCTCAGGGTTTAGTTAATCAAAGTGGCCTCCCCTTGCCCAGTTATGAGACTAAGCTAGGCCAGGTAACTGATGCTGGCTTATCCTTGCTTAACAGCCAAGGTGATCATTCAAAGTACCATAGATGCTCTGAGTAGACTCTTAAGCTGTTCTTGTAGGGGCTTCCTAGGTGGCACTAGTGGTAAAGAACCCGCCTGCCAATGCTGGAGACATAATAGATGCAGGTTTGATCCCTGGGTCAGGAAGGTCCCCTGGAGGGGGCCATGGCAGCCCACTCCAGTATTCTTGCCTGGAGAATCCCTTGGACAGAGGACCCTGGTGGGCTATAGTCCACAGGGTCACAACGAATCAGGCACAACTAAAGCAACTTAGCATGCACACATGTCCTTTCTTATCCATTTTGTGAGCCACCTGATAGCCCTGCAATAAATTTCACCTACATTAGCTAGAAGACTCTTCTTGTAGGGGCTTCCCTGGTGGTTCAGATGGTAAGGAATCTGCCTGCAATGCAGATCTGGATTCAATCCCCGGGTTGGGAAGATTCCCTGGAGGAGGGCATGGCAACCCACTCCAGTATTCTTGCCTGGAGAATCCCCATGGACAGAGGAGCCTGGAGGGCTACAAAGAGTCTGACACAACTGAGCGACTAAGCACAGAGCACACACACATTAGCTAGAATCTATTTTTCTACTGTTTGCAACCAAAACTTTTTATATTACACAGTGTGGATCCTAGCTCTAAAACTTACTAGCTTTGTACCTTTTTGTAGGTAGTCGCTCAGTCGTGTCCGACTCTGCAGCCCCATGGACTGCAGCACGCCAGGCCTCCCCATCCATCACCAACTCCCGGAGTTTACTCAAACTCATGTCCATTGAGTCAGTGATGCCATCCAACCATCTCATCCTCTGCCATACCTTTCTCCTCCTGCCTTCAGTCTTTCCCAACATCAGAGTCTTTTCTAATGTGTCGGCTCTTCACATCAAGTGGCTAAAGTTTTGGAGCTTCAGCTTCAGCATCAGTCCTTCCGATGAATATTCAGGACTGATTTCCTTTAGGATTGACTTAGACAGGTACACACTGCTATATTTAAAATCGATAACCAACAAGGACCCACAATTTAGCACAGGGAACTGTGCTCAATCGCAGCCTGGCTGGGAGGGGAGTCTGGGGGAGAATGGATACATGTGTATATGTATGGGTGAGACCCTTCATTGTTCATGTGAAACTACCACAACACTGTTAATTGATTATACTTCAATACAAAATAAAAAGCTTAAAAAAATAAAATAAATAGCATCACCACCGACTTTCTTAGAACTTCCTGTTATTTACAGAGTTCTTCAAAGCCTGTCCTTGAAGGGGGCACAGCAGAATATTTTAAGGTAAAAAATATTTAAAGCAGATTGATGGCATTTTCAGTATATATCCTCAGTGTTTCTGTTTGTGCCTTCTTCCTCTCTGAAGGTATGTTTCATATCCAAGGCAGTAGTGCTGAATTGGGGACTTATAGGACCTGACCCAGGGCTCCAAAAATTATGGCAGCCAATATAAGACAACTTTTAAAACATATTTATTTTTATTTATCTGGCTGAGCCAGGTTAGGGCATGTGGGATCTAATTCCCTGACCAGGGATAGAACCCAGATCCCCAGGACCACCAGAGAATTCACTTGGACAATCTTTTGATCCCACATGCCACAACTAAGACCTGGCACAGCCAAATAAATAAATAAGAGTAAATATTTTTTAAATTAAAAAACCATTAGTTTTTGACCTACAGAGGATTCCCCCAAATGCTAGATCTGAAATTCTGTGACTCTCACTTGACATGTAATATTCCCTCTCTGGTTTAAATCAACTGAAGATAAAGCGAATGTTTTAAAACCTCAGGGTTTTATTATTTTTATTTTTATTTTTTTTTTAACCTCAGGGTTTTAAACCATAGATAATATCTTCCTGCAGTTGCCTGCTGATACCATTCCACTGGAATAAGGGGGAATTAAGGAGGTTCAGATGAGCCTTCACATTCTTAGCTAAGTTGCAAAGGTGTAAGAAATGATTTCATTCCAGTATTATTAATTGGCTGCTATAAAAATACACATGAGCAGGCAAATATACAAAGCACGGTCACTGAGTCTATATCTCTTCAGTTAAAAATCACATATTTCCTTTTTTATTGCTATTTATTCATGTTTGATCTTTATTCTATTTAAACTGATTGAAGTTTTGTGTGTGTGTGTGTGTGTGTGTGTGTTTTTGAATTTTATTTATCTGTTTAGGCCGAGTCACTCGGCTTGCAGAATCTTAGCCCCCAACCAGGGATTGACCCTGGTCCTCGGCAATGAAAGTACAGAGTCCTAGCCACTGGACCGCCAGGGAATTCCTTAAACCAATTGTTTTTAATCTTTTTTTTTCTTCAGGGCCATAAAACTCTTTGAGGATATGATGAAAACTATTAATCTTTTCCCTATAAAAATGCATATTAACATTACATTTTGCTTATACCAGGTTAAAAACTTCTGTTGTAAGCTGAGAAACTCTCTTTTCCCAGTCTGAGTAGAAAACAATCTGACTGACTCTAAGCACGATTTCTGATTAGGACAAAGTAGCTTTTCCAGGGCCTCCCCAAGGTTTTGCATTGGTTTTTTTTTTCTTCCTGGTTCTTCAGAGCTAGAAATTATTTGAATTAGGTGTTTTTCAAATCAACTTGAATAAAGTTTGGTTTTCAGGAGATGGGCCTGTCTGAGAAAAAGAGCCCTCTTGGTAATAGTCTTACTGAAGCAGGCAGATGGAGGTATCCTGACCTGGTTTTTGTCATTATCCTTTTACAGTTTTTTCCTCCGTCCATTCTAGAAGACGGGCAGTGTGCATATCTGCATGCCCACACTGGTTCACAGTACAGACCACTTTCATATAACATACAAAAAAATAACAAGACAAAGCAAGTTGCCTTACCTCTTTCTACATACAAAGCTTGCTGTTGTTTTTTCATGACCTCTTTCCCCTTTAATGGCTGTCCTTGCATGTTCACCTTTAATTTTTCTTTGGATAAAGGGGAAGAAAAAGGGCTTATTGCCTTTACCCTCAGTGTGTGCTTCTAGTGTCATGTTTAAAGGCAAGGATAGGTCCTCTGGTAAAGTTCCAGTGGTTACACACCTCCAATCCCATCTTCAAAGCCATTCTTCACACTCTCACCACTACACAACTTCACTAAAGACTTATTAGGTCTGTATTAGAGGTATAAAGACAAGTCTTGACTATAATGTACATTACAGTCTACTGCAAGAGGGTTTTTTTTTAACAAATAAAAATGTATATATTTAAGGTGATGTTTTAATACATGTACACATTGTGGAATGCTTACCACAATCAAACTATGTAACATATCCATCAGCTCCCATAGTTACTGTGTGTGTGTGTGTATGTGTGCACATCTGTGTGTGATTACCCTTGAGATCTACTCTTCTAGAAAATTTCAAGTATACATTATTAACTATAGTCACCATGATCCCTGGACAGGAAGATCCCCTGAAGAAGGAAATAGCAACCCACAGAGGAACCTGGTGGGTTACAGTCTATGGGGTTGCAAGAATGGGACACAACTTAGCAACTAAACTACTACCACCATCACCACAAAGTCACTATGCAGTACATAATGCCTCTAGAACTTATTCATTTTACAACTGAACGTTTGTACCCTCTGATCAATATCTCCACATTTCCCTACTCCCCAGCTTTGGCTAACCACTACTCTACTCGGGGAAGTGTTTATTAAAAGGTCTGTTAGTCATTTT